CGTCGCATCGGCAGTTCTCTCACCCTGGCCAGAACCAACAAGATGCAGCATTAGGTTGCCCTTGTCCGTGATTTAAATTTTATTTATTTAACCTAGTCCGTAAGTCGCAAGTGGGAGCCCTGTAAATAATTGTTATCAGTATTTCGAATAGAGAGTGTCTTCGAAAATTCTTTTTATGTACATAACAGGCTGTGAGTGCCCAAATAGCCAAATAAATGAATTTGCGTTTTTGATACTGTACTTGGTTGGCCCACTTTAATTGGGGTGGTGCCTAGCCACCATTTGCCATGTGCCATTTGCATACTTATGTATCTAGGTAAACAAATTAAGCAACATGATATAACAAAAGTGGGAAAAGATTTTCGTGACACCTATGAAAAAGGGTAATTCTTCACGTTATATCCAGTATATAGAGCGTTTAGCAAGGAAAGTACCAAAGGTTCTATTACACCGAAAAAAATGGTCACAGAAAAGCAACTATTGTTACATTAATTCTAAGCTATTGTGAATCGTTTTGGCGTTGATTGTATGGGTATTATATTAATACTTTCTGTGGTATGAAATTGAAATTATTGGGTTTGAAAATATTAAAAATTCTGAACTCTTCAATATACAGAAATTACACTGTAAAATATAGACTTTATATTATTTAGTCTTTAATCTATACTTTAATTTCAATACTGCCTCTGGTATACTTTTTGGGTGTACCAATTTTGGTACTTAGATAAGGTTAAATATGTAGCTAAGGTAAAAGGAATACCTGGGTACGTTTCCTTGTATTGAGAGTGTGCTTCAGCGAAAATATTTAAGATAATTCCCAATTATGTGGGTCATATAATTCAAAATGTCTGCAATCATCGGATTCTTGAATTCTTGGCTATACCGCGGAGCCTTTGGGTAATGGAAAAGAAGTTGGTATGTGAATTTTACTCAGGAGCACCCAAATATCTTGGAAAGCTAGAAATGGTTCAATTTTGTGCTTCTGTGTTGTCATATAGTGAAATCCCGGACTTCCATTTAAGTGGGATTTACGGAAAAGTGTATCAAGCGGAGGTCGTGACTCCAGTAACCAGTAATGACCAAAGTCACGGGTCGTCTGCAACATGTTGCACAACATCCTCGACTCGTGCGGCACGGCACGGGAACGGAGTGAAAATGTGGTGGACAAGGTGGCGTACGAGTGGTGCACGAGTGGTGGTGGGTCCGGTGGTTGCTGGCGATGGTGAGCGCAACATTTTCGACTGCGTTGCGTTTGTTACCACGAAAGACTTAAATGCCGAACGAGTTCTTCAGATTCAGTTTCAGTTGGTTCAGTTCAGTCAGTTGTTTACAATTTGTCGTTGAGGGTGGATTACTTCGTCGCGAGTTTCGTTCGTGCATGATGCGGTTGTGGATGTGGTTGATTGTATACATACATACTATGCACAAATCCAGTTCTCATTTTGTTATTTTACAAATTCTCAGCGAGCGCATGAACTGGCAGCCTATAGCGAGCAGCTAATCACAATATTTACGCCAGATTCGTGGACTTGAAAGGAAATTGAGCCAACCAATCGATTTTTTAGTGTTATCGAAAAACATTTTTCATTCCTCGCATCCACATCGCATCCCACATACCACATCCCACATCCCGAGTCCCACGTCCCATCAGCTGAAGGGAAGGGATACCAACATCAATAATAATAGCAGATAATAAGATGGCCTGCTTCAGGAAAAGGCACTTTCTATTGTGGCTCCTGCGTGCCCTGTGTGTGTTGCACACAGCCCCGCGACGGGCATATGCCACAGTTGGACTGCAAGGAGTGCCGACCTGGATATACCTCGGCCTGAAGTCCCCCTTCATCGAGTTCGGCAGCCAGGAGGAGACGCTGGCCAACTCGAGCATACCCCTGAACATGACCAAGGACGAGCAGGCCAACATGCACCAGGAGGGCCTCCGCAAGCTGGGCACGTTCATCAAGCCCGTGGACCTGCGGGACTCGGAGACTGGCTTCGTTAAGGCCGATCTCACCAAGAGGCTGGTATTCGACTCGCCGAACAACATCACCTCGCGCCCCATCCATCCCATACAGGAGGAGATGGACCAGAAGCAGATCATCCTGCTCGACGAGGACACCGATGAGAACGGCCTGCCCGCCAGCTTGACCGACGAGGACCGAAAGTTTATAGTGCCCATGGCCCTGAAGAATATTTCGCCCGATCCCCGCTGGGCGGTCACCACACCAGTGCCCTCCTCCTCGCTCCAAACGAGCGGCAAAGCCACAACGACCGTTGTGCCATCGCCAATGGCCCAGATAGAGGGGGATCCCACCTCCAACATTGACGACCTGAAGAAGCACATACTGTTTCTACATAACATGACCAAGACGAACTCAAACTTCGAGTCGAAGTTCGTCAAGTTTCCCAGTCTGCAGAAGGACAAGGCCAAGTCGTCGGCCGGAGCTGTGCCCACGAGCGTGAAGCGCCCGCAGAGGCCGATCCATCAGTACTCCGCGCCCATAGCCCCGCCAACACCCAAGGTTCCGGACGGAGCATACAGCCCCGGAGAGCAGCCGATTGGTGGCTACTATCAGAACGAGGAGTTGGCGACTAATCAATCCTTTCTCAAGCCAACAGATACTGCCTCCAATGGCGTTGCCGCCAGCAATCGAGGCCAGAAGACTCCCAGCGAGCCGCAGGTGATCCTGCTCAATGAATCGCTGGCCACAACGATGCCGGAGGCCTCTCTGGAGCCAATCCCGCCGGCGATAAACGTCCCGAAATCGGGACCACCTCTACGCACAACAAAACGTCCACCCTGCCTGCGGAATCCCGAGTCCCCGAAGTGCATACGTCAACGGCGGCGAGAGGAGCAGCAGCGGCAGCGGGAACGGGACGAGTGGTTCCGGGGTCAGTCGCAGTACATGCAGCCCCGGTTCGAGCCCATCATACAGACCATTAACAATACCAAGAGATTTGCCGTATCCATTGAGATCCCAGACTCTTTTAAGGTATCTTCTGAGGGACTGGACGGCGGCGAGTTGCTCTCGCGCGTTGCCCGCTCACAGCCGAGCAGTAGAAAAATAATGCCAGACTATATTAAGGTATCTATGGAAAACACATCCGTTACGGATTACTTTAAGCACGACGTGGTGATGGCATCTGCGGATGTCGCCAGCGAAAGGGATTTCCTTATCAAGAACATGGAGGAGCACGGAGCTGCCTCCGCGAACGATCACAATGACACGGCCCCAGCTGCCGATGCATACTCGGAGACAATCGATCTTAATCCCAATAACTGCTACAGCGCTATAGGCCTGAGCAACAGCCAAAAGAAGCAGTGTGTGAAGCACACCAGTGTTATGCCGGCCATCAGTCGCGGTGCCCGAGCAGCCATTCAAGAATGTCAATTTCAGTTCAAGAATCGCCGCTGGAACTGCAGCACAACGAACGATGAAACCGTATTTGGTCCAATGACCAGCCTGGCCGCTCCCGAAATGGCCTTCATCCACGCCCTGGCGGCGGCAACGGTGACCAGCTTTATAGCTCGAGCCTGCCGGGATGGGCAGCTGGCTTCCTGCAGCTGCTCCCGAGGCACTCGGCCCAAGCAGCTCCACGACGACTGGAAGTGGGGCGGATGTGGCGACAACCTAGAGTTCGCCTACAAGTTCGCCACAGACTTCATCGACTCGCGGGAGAAGGAGACCAATCGAGAGACCCGCGGGGTCAAGAGAAAACGCGATGAGATTGGAAAGAATCGAATGCATTCTGATGACACAAATGCTTTTAATATAGGTATCAAGAGAAATAGAAATGTTGACGCCAAGAATGACACAACATTAGTGGTAAGAAACGTTAGGAAAAGCACTGAGGCTGAAAGCAGTCACCTACTCAATGAGAATTTCGATCAGCACTTGTTGGAACTGGAGCAGCGCATTACAAAGGAGATACTAACTTCCAAGATAGACGAGGAGGAAATGATCAAGTTGCAGGAGAAGATCAAGCAGGAGATAGTGAACACCAAGTTCAAGGCTGAGCAGCCTCGCAAGAAAAAGCGAAAAAATCAACGGGCCGCTGCGGATGCGCCTGCCTTTCCGCGGAATGGCATTAAGGACAACTACAAGGACGGCATCCTGCCCCGCAGCTCGGCAACCGCCAAGGCAAGGAGCCTGATGAACTTGCACAACAACGAGGCCGGACGTCGGGCGGTCATCAAGAAGGCCCGCATCACCTGCAAGTGCCACGGCGTCTCGGGATCCTGCAGCCTAATCACCTGCTGGCAGCAACTGTCCTCGATCCGGGAGATCGGCGACTATCTGCGCGAGAAGTACGAGGGAGCCACGAAAGTGAAGATCAACAAGCGCGGACGACTCCAGATAAAAGATTTGCAATTCAAGGTACCGACCGCTCACGATCTGATTTACCTAGACGAGAGCCCCGACTGGTGTCGCAACAGCCACATGCTGCACTGGCCAGGTACACACGGACGTGTGTGTCACAAAAACTCCTCGGGATTGGAAAGCTGTGCCATACTGTGCTGCGGGCGGGGCTATAATACGAAAAATATTATAGTTAACGAACGCTGCAATTGCAAATTTCACTGGTGTTGCCAGGTTAAATGTGAGGTTTGTACAAAGGTACTCGAGGAACACACATGTAAATAGATCTAGAGTTCAGGCGCTCTAGACGCGTTGAAATTCAAATGTCTTAATGTTTGTGACTAAGCCATGAAGAAATAATCGTATTTAAACAATTAATTATTTATTGAAATTACATTTAAATTAATGATTCTATTTAATAATTTTTACTATTTTACCGGCTTTTAAGCACTACCAAACTAAATTGAAGAATAACTTTAAAGCCCTTTTAAATTGCAAAACATATTGCTTCTTAAATAGCTAAGAAAAGAAAACCGCTAAACAAAACCACCTTACTTATGTATAGCTTTTAGAAATCATTAGTTTTAAGTATAATTCTGGTAGGGTTGGCCTTCTTAAAAACAAAAAAGAAAATAGTGAAGGTTTCAACACAATTTTAAAGAACTGTTGTATTTTTTTTAATTAAGATAATATTACTGATATATAATATTAAATATATTACTGAATGGAATAAGTCATAAAAGCGAGCTTTTCTTACAACTTGGAGTGGGGCAAGTCTCTTTTCGAACTTTAGTGGTTCCGAGATATTTTAGTTTGAAGGGATAACAAAGAAAATATCAAGGGCAATCACGATAACAACTATCTGACTTAAAAAACTGACTTAAAATCCAAATAATTTAAATATTAAATAACTTTTAGGTATTTCAACATTATAAAACATTTGTCTCATTTCTCTAACTTAGATAGTTACAGATTATTTTTTCAGGCAGTCACATTAGTTAAAATAGCAGCTATTTTAACTATTTAGTTAAGGAACTTATTTAAAAAATTGACATTGGGAAATAGATACAAATAGTTTGAAGTCTCTGAATACCTTGTAAATCCAACATACAATCTCTTCCCTGGTAATCTTCTAGATTTCGGATTTATCTGAGTTTTAATTGTCCCACCAGAGAGATATCTTAAAAAGTATGATATTGGAATGTAATTCAAGTAAGTTGTTGTAATGGCTAGCTATGTATCATCTGATTGCTACTAACATTTGTGGGGATCGTTAGTAAGTGATTGTTTATGAGAAATAGTGATACATTTTGGTATTATCCTCTTACTTGTTGACTAGTTTAGCCCCACCATTGCCAAAGGCGAGGGGCAATCCATTCAGAGTGAGACACCCTCCAATCTTTTCCATCCTGACTGTGTAGTTTATTTTGACCCCCGGCAGTTGTTCACCATGAACATACCGGTTCTCCAGGTGAGCAGAGTCCACCGTGTACATGCCGCAGACGATGGCCTCCTTGCAGAGCCTCTCCAGACGCGTCTGCCACTGGCGGTAGTGCCGGAACATGGACAATTTCTGGGTTCTCTTGGGGAAGTCCAGCCAATAGAATTCGCCGAGTGTGTCGAGGGCAACCAGTTGCACACCGGGATCATTGACGATCGCATAGCGGGCGTCGATTAGGGCAGTGGAAACGTCCTCGGTGGAGAAACAGTTGAGGAATCGAACGCGACCGACGCATTCTCCCGCAATCTCGACCAGTTCTTCCTCCGGCGGGGATTCCCCTCCCTCCACTCCCTCAGAAAACGCCTGCAGTTCCGTGTTTATGCACTTCGTGAGGGATTCCCGGGTAATCTTGTGACTCAGGTTGATCAAGAGGACGCTCCACTGGCGGCCACCGAATTCGTAGGGCGCCAAACAGTGGGCCATCAGTTGCTGGAGCACCAGGCTCTTTCCGCTGTTTCCCGGGCCGGAGATCTCCACCAGCGTCTCATCCTCGAAGCCGCATACGCCAAACACGGCGGAGTGCAATTGGCGCGACTCCATAATTAAATGTACATACAAAAATTGAACTTGAATTGCGCCCAGAATAAACAATAGATGTATCGATTGTTATGATTATCGATAACACCAATGTAATGTGCAGTTGCGCAGCGAAGTGAAACGAATTAAGAACGCATTTTAAATTTCAGTTAAATAAAGTAATAGTTATCTGAAAACAGCAAGCTATTGGATTTACTTGGCATCAATCTTTGTAACTACTAAACTTACATACATACATACATTTGGTTTTTTTTTCACGATAACCATCCCCGACTATCGCCCAACTGCCTATCGCTTTCTGTGCCTATTTCTGGCCTAACGCCTGCGCGAAAAAACCTCCAAACGCGTTTTTACCAGTTGAACATCGTTTCTTCCATTTTTGTTTACGTTTGCACCGCGAATATTCGTGCACTTGCACTCGCAATTTGTTCTGTGCCAGCGGCGCTCTTTCGCCGGCAAGTTGCTCCACTCCACGACCCAGAGGCCGCGCAACCGGACGAGGCGGTGGACTCCAGTTTGCTCTCGGCAGGCATTTCACCCAGCACTTGTCATTATCATCGGCGGACGCCTTTGATCATCGGCATCGGCATCTCCGAACCGAAAGTGGTTCTTTTGTTCTGCTTTCTGGCCACCTTTCCCCGCTCCCCGCTCCCTGTGCCTCTTCGTCTTCTTCTTCTTCTGGCCACCTAGACACGTCAACAGATTTGGAATTGGGAATTGGTTAACTGGAGCTGAGACTTTCGAGTTTCGAGATGCGCGTGAGCACCATCCGCAGCGGTCGGATCTGCCGGTTGGCACTGTGCCTGCTGGTGCTGCTGCCACTGCTCTACCTGCTGGCAAACTGGAGCGATCACCACAAGCGCGTCCAGGAGGCGTACCACACGCGCTTCGGCGGCCCAAAGTTCGCCCACCAACGACTGGAGGGGCGGCCCAGGGAGGTGCCCAAGCTGGTCGAAGGTAAGTTGGATCAGGATTGAGGATAAAGCGCTCACTCCCAGTTCGAATGTGCAATTTACTGCCAAATGTGTACCATATAGTCTGGTATAACATACAATTAATCATTGGTACTTCAGATGCTGGAGCAGGATAGGGATAATGGAGTCATCCCCATCTTAAATATGTATATCGTTCAAAACCGTAAATCATATCAAAACTATAAGAGGTATTCGTATACCAATATAAGAACAGGATGGCCCTGAAACTTTAGCTTTTGTAACTTGTTACCAACCTCATCCTATCTTGAACAAATAGAACTCATATAATATTTAATATATTCCTTAAAGGTGGCTCTGTTAGGTCCTTAAATTATGTAAAAGAGGGCAAATAAAAACTATACCTCTATAAGTCATAGTACAGTCAATTTCAGAGCTCACTGACAAACCAATCGAAAATATTTAGGAAATTCTATTATACATTCTTCAAAACCGGCTTTGTAATAGCCCTATTAATTCCAGAAAGAGTGAGAAGAGAACCTCAGAAAACCGTCGTCCCCACACTTAATTGCTCACTTACTACACATCCATCAAAAAAAACCATTTGTATACTAATATATTGGCTAAGATCTGCTTAATGTCCTTTGATACTTTTTATGTTATATATTATTTAGTAATGGATAATTAAGAAAACCTTTACTAAACTGTCTTAAAATTACCGAGAAAAGTACAGATCAAGAAACCCACATCTCTTCAAATGAATAAGTCTAAAACTTGATACACCTCCATCAAGAACCTACAATGGCTAGACCAATATTTATACAATTGCTGTAGATCTGCACGCGCATTTGCATTTGCCACTTCACTTACGTTCCATTTTCGCAAATTTCAGGCCTGGGCAACTTTGAGCCGAAAGATGTGAAGCCACGTAGCGGACCCGGCGAGAATGGAGAGGCCCACAGCCTGTCGCCCGACAAGAAGCACATGTCGGACGCCTCCGAAATGGAGTACGGCATGAACATCGCCTGCTCCGATGAGATATCGATGCACCGAGCGGTGCGGGACACGCGGCTGGAGGAGTGCCGCCACTGGGACTACCCCTTCGACCTGCCAAGCACCAGCGTTATCATTGTCTTCCACAACGAGGGCTTCTCGGTGCTGATGCGAACCGTGCACTCGGTCATCGACCGCTCGCCCACCCACATGCTCCACGAGATCATCCTCGTGGACGACTTCTCCGACAAGGAGAACCTGCGCACCCAGCTGGACGAGTATGTGCTGCAGTTCAAGGGACTGGTTAAGGTCATCAGGAACAAGGAGCGCGAGGGTCTCATTCGGACGCGATCCAGGGGAGCCATGGAGGCAACAGGTGCGTACTTATGGGCTTAAGCCGACACAAGTAGGCATTTTTCCCCTACTTTATAATGCATATCACAAATTAGTCACAGCGATAAAGAACGTGTCATAATGAAAAATGTGCTTGGTATCTTTAGATATTTTTCTCAAATGTTGAACGTTGGGCATTTGGAATTTTCATTAATGAAACTCCGCGTTTTGCTAGATCGAAACGATAATCAAATTAGCATACCGGCGAATAATAGTTTAAAAAGGTCAGTTATTTGAAATTTCAATTAATGAATCTTCACGTTTTGTTAGATAAAAACTATAAACTTAAAAGTTATAATTTTATCAGCTTCGATTCATCCGATTGGGACTATCGGGTTATCGGGAGTGCTTCAAAAAACGTTTAGCGCTGAAATCTTTCGATCTTCTTACGAACTGAGCGTTAAGAGATTGCTGTTGCACCCCCAGTTTATACATTCTTGGTTGGTAAATGAGTTCAGGGGAAAGGAAGTCCTTAACGTAATTTAAGCACTGTTACATTCAGGTTTCTATTTTTAAGAAGTAATAATATTTAAAGCCATACAAATATAATCATATTTAAAACTATCTTAAGTGGACGTCGTATTATATGTGAAATCACTTTTAAAACCTCCACGATCCTTGGTTACTTATTTTTTGTATAAAACATAATTGGATACCAAAAAAAACTGGATGCTAAAAATGAATTTCCCATATAATCCGAAGTCCGTTTATTAGTATCGAAGCAATCCCTAAAATCCCTTATCATCCGCAGGTGAGGTGATCGTCTTCCTGGACGCCCACTGCGAAGTAAACACCAACTGGCTACCACCGTTGCTGGCCCCCATCTACCGGGATCGCACTGTGATGACAGTGCCCATCATCGATGGCATTGACCACAAGAACTTTGAGTATCGCCCGGTTTATGGAACGGACAACCACTTCCGCGGCATCTTCGAGTGGGGCATGCTGTACAAGGAGAACGAGGTACCGCGCCGCGAGCAGCGCCGCCGTCCGCACAACTCGGAGCCCTACCGCAGTCCCACTCACGCCGGCGGACTGTTCGCCATCAATAGGGAGTACTTCCTGGAGCTGGGCGCCTACGATCCAGGTCTGCTGGTCTGGGGCGGCGAGAACTTCGAGTTGAGCTTCAAGATCTGGCAGTGCGGCGGCAGCATCGAGTGGGTGCCCTGTTCCCGAGTGGGCCACGTCTACCGCGGCTTTATGCCCTACAATTTCGGAAAGCTGGCGAGCAAGAAGAAGGGGCCACTGATCACCATCAACTACAAGCGCGTCATCGAGACGTGGTTCGACGACACGCACAAGGAGTACTTCTATACCCGCGAGCCACTCGCCCGCTATCTGGACATGGGCGACATTAGCGAGCAGCTCGCTCTGAAAAAGCGACTGAACTGCAAGAGCTTCCAGTGGTTTATGGACCACATCGCCTACGACGTGTATGACAAGTTCCCGGGACTGCCAGCCAACCTGCACTGGGGAGAGCTGCGCTCGGTGGCCTCAGACGGATGCTTGGACTCCATGGGCCACCAGCCGCCTGCCATCATGGGCCTCACATACTGCCATGGAGGAGGAAACAATCAACTGGTCAGGTTAAATGCCGCCGGACAACTAGGCGTGGGCGAGCGTTGCGTGGAGGCCGATCGGCAGGGTATCAAGCTTGCTGTGTGTCGCCTGGGGACAGTCGATGGTCCTTGGCAGTACAACGAGCACACGAAGCACCTCATGCACCGCGTCCACAAGAAGTGCATGGCCCTACACCCAGCCACCCAGCAATTGTCATTGGGTCACTGCGATGTCAACGATAGCTACCAGCAGTGGTGGTTCAAGGAGATACGCCCGCGCTGGTAAGTCCAGTGTGGACGATCAGGATGAGGGGAAGAAGCAGCAGGAGGATCAAGGGATGGATCACAAGGGTTTCAGCCGGGGCAACGGGGGCGATATTTTAGACAAAAGCAATTTAGTGAAAATGAGAAATGGAATTGTTGTTGGTTTTGTAACGCAAACAAGTATATACACACGAAAAAACAAGAAATCATTCAGATGTAAACATACAAATAAGCATTTATGTAACGCACTGTACATATGCACTGTCGGCACATGGAAATCCCCTAGGTAATTAGGGTCCAAGCCAGGGCATAGAATGCTATGTGGATAAATCTGCGACGATATTATTAAAGCTTAGGAGTTCCGATTTTGTGCAACAATTTCGCAAAGACCTTTTTAGATTGTAAATCTCAAATCTTCAATTATTCTTATGTTAGGAAAATTGCTTTTAGACTATATTTGTAAGTCGCTCGAAAACTGGAGACAAATATGGCAAGTTGTATCAATGTGCAATTTTTAAATCTAAATGTTTGTTCTTTGAGTAGTGCTCCCAAAAACGTTTTGTATTTGCATTTAGAGAGATTTAATTAAAAGATACAATAAGCATATTTTAAATTTACAAAATGGCACTTAGTGTAGAACAAAACTCATCACAACTAGTTGGATACCATCACACTTTTATTGGCGAATCTCATACAACAGTTATTCAATAATTTATAAGGATCTAAACTTTGGGGATTTCCATGCCGGCCTTGTGTGTCTTTGCGAATGAGTGAGAGCATGCGAGATAGAAATAGAACGGAAGCGAAATAGAGGGAGATAGCGCGAGAACGAAAGGGCGACAAGTCGTTGGCGAATGGAGTGCAATAGAGGATTAATGGGACGGGACGATACGGCCGCAGATTGTTTTGCTTTATGATTGCCAACACAAATTAATGTACTAACCTTAGTCTGTACTCCTGTAACTCCAACTAACCTTAGCTTAGTTTTGATGCTGCCACATTCCAATCTAATCTTATATAATCCAATCGAATCCGAACCGATCGAGTCTGCAGCGAAGCTCGGCTCTTTAATTTTTTACGTAACATTTTTTTTTCGATTTCCGTAAAGCTCTCTGTACCAGATAGTCGTAATCGTAATTGATCGTTGCAAAGTGCTTCGGGAGTTCGATTTTTGAAAACAATATTTTACATTCATGTGTAACTTTAGAGTTATCGATAAGTCTGAATAATAGAAATAAACACGTTTTCTAAACACTTTACCTTGTAATTCGAACTTTTTATTATTTGATGTTATGGGAAGTTAAAGAATTTTTGTTAGGCAGTATGTAGGTTAATTTTTGTTTATTTTTTTTTGCGAGAAGAAGCTGTGCAACTGCCCGCATTGCCCGAAGGAGTGCCGTCCCGCTCCAACATCTACGTCCACATCAAGACGACGCGTTCGCACGATCCCTAGTTCAATCCCTAATTCTGATCCTGGATAAACATGTCCAGCCATTTAATTAAGTACTCTACTGTTTCTTTTGTGGACTTCGTGATGACGTAACTTATATTCTGGATATGTCATTGTGGGGAATGCAATGGTATTACAAGCTCAAAATTATGTATTTGAAAAACGCCGTCAACTCCCCATAAGATAGTTGTGTTGTCATCGTTGTGATTGCGTATTGCGATGTGACCGGGACTTAGTTGAAGTTTGAAGTCAATAGGGAGCGAATCGATAATGTGTCCTTTGAAATGGTATCCGGAAACTTGATGGAGATTTCGACAATAAGGTCGCTGCGGCGCGACCTGTTCCTCTAATGGGGCAGTCCCTCGCCCTTGAATCGCGCTGCCCGAGATCCTCACTTGTGAGATCTTAAGGCTCTTAATGCATCCATTGGCTATGTCCTTTAGTGTCACAAGAAGTTCGTGATCTATCGGCGGATTCTTTGGGAGCCGGCCACTCCCTGATGCCGATCCCACTGAAAAGTCATTTGTAACTGTTAATAATCAATTATATTGTGATCTATAAAATTATAAAAGCTCGAATTTCGGGAATAAGCATGCAGATTCTAGAAATTCTTGGGCAGCGCTAGTTTATTTCAGAAAAATTCCACGCCCACTCTAACACCCACATTTTTAAAGATTACATTTAAAAAAAGTTTTATTTTATTTCGCACGGCCAATACCTAGCGGCCCGGCAAAAATTGTTAAAAGGAACATTACTTAATAAATAATGACCATATCTAGCAAGCTCGTCGACAGTAACGTCACAGCCAGTAGATGAAAGTGAAAAGTGTAAACTCTTAAAATGTAAGTATTTAATCGCTGAAGTTGGTTAGCTGAGTAACGGGTATCTGATAGTCGAGCCAGTCAACTAAAGTATTATCTCTTGCTTGCATTCTTATATGTTTGACATTATTAATTTTATTAAAGATGATAGTTAAGCTTACAAAACTAAGACTAATATCGGGGAGTAGTAAGAGCTGCGGGGCCTTAGAGTACTTAGTTTTTTTTCGATATTTACTGTTTTGAAAAAAGTTTTATATGTTTTGTATTTTTCTATGTCCTTACCTACAATATAATAATGTCAAGGACATATACCTGAAATTTTAATGGGCTAACGATATATTGTTAATTAAAACCGACAACAACTCTTTGTCGCTATAATACAAAAAACTCGAGATAAGCCAGAGGATTCCCATTTGGGATTGACTCTCTTTAATAGGTATGTACCTTTAGATTTTGAAATCCAAGCTGCTGTGTAAGTATATAGTGCGACTATTAAATATATCGCTTGGAGCAACATATGTAAATCGTTCAGCGCTGAATGGTTCGAATGTACATCAATGTTAATTCTCAACGAATTCAGCGCAAAGCTCTTTTTTTAGCACCCCAATTTATTGCCTTTTATTTTCTAGGAAGTGAATACTTATTATCAACACATATGTACATATGTATATGCCCAGCGGAGGTGCTTTAGTAAAGTACCCTAGTTTTCTGAGCGTATAGAACGACAAGTGATTCTTAATTTAAGCAAATGATTCATTAAATTGTTTAATCAATTCAGCAATATCGATTGCAGCGACGATGAGGAACGGTGATGATGGGCCGATTCGTCTCGAAGGTACTCGACGCCCCAGTTCCAGGGAAGTCCGCTGGCGATAAGATTCCTGGAAGTTCATTACCCAAGGGGAAAGGGGTCTGTCCAATAGGGAGACGCCGGCAGGTGTCAATCCAACGCCATGAAATTGCGGAAAGAGTTAGTAAGTTAGTTAGGCTAATCAACAACCAGAAAAAACAGAATGTTTGTTTACTGCTGGATAGGCCGTATTCCCAAAATAAGAGCCGTAGTGTTATCTTCCGCCTATTGGCACATCGTCACAGCTGCCGGGAGGCGGAAAGGGGATGATTAGATCCGAGCGCAATAACACCCAAATTGATCAATTTAATTGAGTGAAGTGGGAATGCTTCTTATCGGTGTTATTATTGCTACTCTTTCGTGGCGTGGTTACACTGTGAGGGACAACATAGAAAAAACAAGGAAGAACGCTATAGTCGAGTACCTCGACTATCAGATACCCGTTACTCAAAAGGAAATGGAGATATGAAAGCAGCAAAGCGAGATTAAAATGCGCCACCTACCGGCGGTAGACAGATTTAAGCGTCATGGGCGTTAGAGTGGGCGTGGCAAATTTATTTTTGGATCAATCGATAGGTATTGACGACACCAATAAATTTCATTTTTTATCTAGCATGCAAATTGTGGGCTTCACAGGTTTTCGCGGTTTGTGGGCGTTTAAGTGGGCGTGGCAAACTTTTTTTAGGTCAATCGATAGGTACTGATGAGAACAATACATTTCAGTTAAAATTTTCTATCTAGCATCAAAACTGTAGGAGTTACAGTTTTGGGCGGTTTGTGGGCGTTAGAGTGGGCGTGGCAGTCTACTGAAACAAACTTGCGCTGCGTAAGAAGCTCAGCAATCTGTACGCCAAATCTCAATAGCCTAGCTCTCATAGTTTCCGAGATCTCAGCGTTCATCCGGACAGACAGACGGACAGACGGACAGACGGACATGGCTAGATCGACTCGGCTAGTGATCCTGATCAAGAATATATATACTTTATGGGGTCGGAAACGCTTCCTTCTGCCTGTTACATACTTTCCGACGAATCTAATATACCCTTTTACTCTACGAGTAACGGGTATAACTATCAATATGACTAAGACATCACTTCTTTGAACTACTACTAATTTTACTGCTACTGAGTAGTTGTTTAGTTCTTTTTTAAAGATATTGGTAAACATGTAGCCTGGGAAGAGTACTCCCCCTTTCGGTGTTGCTTTTTCCGGTTCGGGATTAGACATTGTCACTTGGCACTCGAAATTGGCAATGGGCCTGATAAGAGGGAAACCAATGTGATTCAAAGCAAACCGGAGACTTCCCCGACTGGTATAAATAGGTGGTTTCTAGACCTTGGCCATCATTCCGTGACTTCGACGCGCCGTGACGGGAAACAAATAGCTTACTCTTCCTCAATCGACTCCAATAATCAAGATGTCCAAGTATAGCCTGATCCTATTGTCCGCCCTGCTGGGCTGCCTTGTTTCCGGCGGATCGGCTGGGACTATAGGTGTGGATAGAAGCGCATTCCAGGTGGTGAAGGATATCCATATCTTTGCCGCCCAGCATCCGGGTCTGAAGATCCAGGCATTGGAAAAGCAGATTGTACCGGGAAAGGCCCGTGCCGGATCGCTAAGCGTGCGCTACAACCTGGGAGCCCGAATTTCCAGTAAGTTCCCTAAAGCATACACTTCGTCTAGCCACCGGGTACTAACTTTCTTGTCTGGCATACTTTCAGGCGATACCCTAGTGTTCCAGACAGCCGACACCCTTGAGTTCCCACGGGCACAGGATGTGAGCGTGCAGCTTAATTATCCGGAGAAGAGCGGCGACTCCGGTGCCGCCTTGTCCTACGTGGAGCTGATCTGCACCCAGGACGCCTACGACGGCAACGCCTACGTGGTGGCCGGAGGCATCGGCCAGCGCTTCATCTCCATTGTCCTGGAAGCCAAAAACACCAAAAACTTCTCCTACCAGGCTCTTTACTACGGGCAGTGGATCTAGGCATTAGCATTATCTTCCTATTAGTTTATATTTTACTTAAAATGTGTGTCATTTGACTCCAATTTAAAATATATGTAACAGGCAACACCAACCTGAGATTACCTCGATATAAGTAATAAATATTATTTTATTCCGGGCTAGGACTAGAAAATATAGAACAAAACCAATTCGTTATTAAAACAGTAAAATTATATCGGTATGTATACAGAATGAGGCTAGAAATTGTGTTATAAAACCTTAATATTACTGGATTTCGGCCAAGAAGCCATATTTTAACATGGTAAAACGTTGGTAAATACCGTAGGATGTTATAACTTTAGGTACGAATATAATTAAACATATAAATTACATGCGAATGCAGTCTAATAAAGAATTATGAAACAAATGCCGAATACACGTGGAATTAGTGTTTTTGTGAACTCAACAAATATGTTTTGGACATTTTTTTTGGAGCTTTCTTACAGACCTTGAGCTTGGCTCACCATAAGAAATGGGTCCATTTATCATGGGTCACCTTTCTTTACTATTTATTTCTCTGTGTAAAATTGGATACCCCTACTATATGGCGAAAAATTGGTTGCTAGTGGGGATCATATATTCCTGAGGCTATTCGCTAATCGCAAATTATTTCAAATGGTTTTCGCTGCTCACGCGCCTTCCACTTGAATCCGATGATAGCCAGTGCCATAAATCTGGGGCAGCCACTCACCTGAATCTGATTTGGGTTCCCATTGAGACTCCGTCATGGAAAGTGAAACCGAAATTGTAAATTATACAGGAATTCGATTGTGAAAGAGTCCGACGCACTTAGCTTGTTTCTAAAAATATGATTCCTCTTACGTCGTTGAACTCTCCACCTATCTGGTGGGATCTTAAAAGGAATTCCCGTTCTGCATGATTCATTTACTGAAATCTTACAATTGCTTGATTGCATGGGATTGGGAATAACCATCTAAGCATACTTGCTCTTTGAGCTATTCGGGGAGTTTCTCTTCGAGCAACTACCGATATAACTGGAGAGTCAGCTACGTCAGTGAAGAATCGATCTAATACCCCTGGCCATGTTGCGTAGACGGGCAATTGACTTTGTAGATAGGGCTATTTGTTTATTAGATTGTTTGCTATTGTGCGCCAATATGCATACCAAGGCTAAGATTGTCGTGGGGCGAATAAACAAACAAACACGCGCCGGCGGAGACTCGGCCCCCAAGAGATGCCCAGTCATCATCGGGTGAAGCTCTTCCTATGTGAGTCTATAATCAGTGATCACTTGAGGCATCCAACGTCACTGTTTAACGGGGGTTTTACATAAAGTAGGGGGATAAAATACCGTACAACCTATATATTTATCAATGAATTCAGGCGTAATAACACCGCAATCTTATGGGTCATTAAGTTATGGTAGCTGCACACTGGAAAGCCTTCGCTGATTCACCCGCTCATTCAACGACGTGTTCCCATCATATCCCATCCGAAACATCTCCCAGCGATACGATTAGTGTAACCTGGAGAGGCCTATTTTTATGAACTGATCACAGCATTATGGCCAATTAATCGGTGCGGCTATAGGTACGCCTCCCGAAATTGCCGTGGCCAATTCCCGGGCTTATCGTTCAGTTGTCGAGCTGCCTTATCGAGGTAGTGACCGCCGATAAGGGAGTACGTATAAAAGCCGGAGACAGTCGCCAGCACCAGCCAAAATCCAAAAAGCGCTCGAATAGTGCATTAGAAAGAGCCGACCCCCGATTCCCCTCATTATTTTTTTTGGTGATCCGAAAATGTTTCCTGTGATCTGCCTGGTGCTGTGCATCACCGTATCGGGATCCGGACAGCCCCACGCCCGTGCCAGTGATCTTTACTACACCGACATCACCGCCGTAACAGATGAGACGCGATACACCACCCTCAATCCGGACATAACGCTCACCGAGATGAACAAGGTGAAGCACACCAAGGGCAACATCGTCTTCACCTCGGGAGAGCGGACATCGGGCGACCGACTCATTGTGAACCACTACGATGACGAGAGCTTCCCCACCCCAAAGGACATCGAGGTGCTGATGAGCTATCCGGCCGGAGCCAGCACCGGAGTCACGCTCACCTGCATCGAGGTCTATGTGGACCAGTCGGCGGACGATGCCGGCGGCTATCTGAGCAAAGGTGGCATCGGCCAGACCAACGTAGAGATCCTGCTCACCTCCAACCTGACCCGTAGCTTCGTCTACGAGACGTTCATCTACGGCTACTAGGGCAGCCAGCCCCACCAGCTCCTCTCCCAGACCTTTCAGACCTTCAATAAATGTTTCGCTTGGAACCCAACTGTGATCGTGAACTCAAGACCCTGCCCCTGTCCTTCCTGCCGAGAGTATTATTAGTCTTAGACCTACATTAAAGAAGGAAATCCAAACAGACTCCTATGCAAATCCACACATATTGTCTTTTCTTATCTAAATTGAAAAATAAAGTGTACCTCGTTGGTTGGTGCTCTATCGAAACCAATTCTTTCCCACGCAGAATAATTCGGAATTCTTGCGATTGCAAATATATATTAAGTTTTATGAGTGCCGAGTGGGGGCTGGCCGGATTATAATGGAAATGGGTTCCCGAATGAAGATAACAAATTTAATTTAAGTTTACAGATAAATCAAGCATTTACCTCTATTGTTTCTAAAAATGCTTCTTATAAATTTCATATTATAAGAGAAATAAAGATTATGCGATACTGATAAGGCAGGAAAACGAAGCAAAGGCAGTTTCAGGAAGCGGAAAACAATGCGCAAGACGGGAACTATATATAGAACCATATATGTTGCGATTAAACGATAAGTATTAAGCGAACTTTGGGAGAGAGTTCACCATGATGTGAGCATTCCTCATAAGAGATTGGGGCGTTCTTTCAGAGTCATTAAACTTGATATCGAATTGATCCCAGAGGGAGATCGCTGCTCCAGTATGCTGCCGAATAACGTAGGTTCCATAAGGGAGTTATCTGGCTGACTCCATCAACTACATCAGTGCCGCCATGACTAGAATCTGTAAGCAGAGGCATGTGGACAGCCCCCGAAAGATGGTGGCTTCGCTCAAAAGAAAGCCGATTAGAAACCACTTCTACGACACTTAATCTCCTGGTACATTTTCTTCCGATGCAGGAGATGTCTTCGAGGTTATTCACCAAATATAATGGGACAACTAGGTCCAAGGATATTGGTGTTGGTGACCAGAACAACGATGGGGTCTTGTTTCCGGTACTTGCGAACCGGTGTCAACCATAAACCCGGCAGCGCGGACCTATACTCCACGTGCTGGACTTTATCAATGGGAACCATTAAGTAAATGGGCAAGATCGCTGACTGTGTGCTTCACCGGGGATTACGTAGTTCTTAAAGCTAGTAATTAGTTTAATCACTGGAACTTAGGTAATACTTGCTTTATGGATGGATGATACTACTCTGTGGTGCACCCCCTTTTCCCTCCGATTGCTCTTTCCCGGAGGATGCACTTCTCTTCTCGGGGCTTGTCCCATCCACCGGATCTGTGAATCAGTAGTCGAATCAATCATGTTGGGTTAACCTCGCTCCGCTCAAAGCTCGCTCACTCTCTGCCTCTCCAACTCTTGGTGAGATTCCCGCCGATCGGTGAACCAGTTGGAGGGAGAGCCACCGGCGGTCCAGCTCACTTGCTCCGAGAGTGGCGCTGTTCCAGCTGCCAGTTGATCGCCAGTAGCGCCGTCGATCGGTCAGTCAGCTTCTTCGACCAGCCAGCGAAATCAAGGGGAAAACAACGAGAGTTAAATAATAATAACACTAGCATTAGCATTAAAGCGATCGGCACGAGCAATGTTACGTCGCGGAGAAACGGGCTTCATATCAGCCCTGATCTTTACTAGCCTCTGTCTGGGCTTCTGTCGGGGTTACTTCAGTCTGGAGGGTGCGTAAGCTATCGCCTGATCTACTAATAAGTTTCACCGACGAAAGAAATCTACCCAGATATTACTCTATCTTCCCTGAAATTAACAAATACAGTTGGACTTTCATTGATGAAACTTACTTTGCCTGAAGTCGACAATACGTAACATTGTAATATCACTTCTAATACTAAAAATACCGTAGCCGTTGATGTTCCATTATTTCAAACTCCTTTAAAGTAATTATTTCACATCATATTTGTTGCAGTCGGTGACCCCTGTCCCACGGAGAACTACCGCAGTCGCTGCCAAGTGCTGGACGATTGTGAGACTTTGGTATCCCATCTCAAAACAGGGCGACTCACGTTAAGGACCGTGATGAACTGCGGGTATACGAGTCGCAGCGAGAAGATCTGTTGTCCCGTCGAAGATGCCCAAAGTGCAGTGCGCATAGTACCCACGGATCAGACCACCAGGAGCACGACCACCACCAGTACTTCCACCACCACCAGCACAACAACAAGAACAACCACAACTACTACTACTCCTCCTCCAGAACCCTGGCTGGACATATTCCAGACGGACCACGAGTTCGTCCAGCAATTCGTTGTGCCCACTGAACGGCCAACGAGGAACAGCATCTCAATCCGGGACACCTTCGATGGAGCGGAGTGCAAGGCTCCGTTGTACGAGGGCCAATGCCGAGCGGTATCGGCCTGCCCCAGTGTGGAGCCCCTCCTGTCCCAGGGTCGTCTGCGGGACGAGGACTTCACGACGTGCCGCGAGGGAACGCACGAGGAGATCATCTGCTGTCCGCTCAGCCTGCCCCTGCATCCGCGCGTTCTAAGTGGTCCGCGCCTGGGTCTGGAGGGCGACTCGTCGCCGGCCGAGCCCTCGGAGGATCCCTTGGAGGTGGCCGCCATCGCACGGGCGGAGGGCCTGCTGCCCCACTATCGCCACCTGGCCGCGCTGGCCCACCCGAATGCCGCCTTCGATGGCCACCTGCACCACTGTGCCGCCCTCGTGCTGACGCCACAGCTCCTGGTCAGCGCCGCCGGCTGCGAACGACCTAGTCATGCCGTCTTCGGAGTGCCTGATATGCGTGACGTGGACGCCGACGAGGACTATTTGGCGGACATTGTGGTGAGTCATCTAGGGAGGGGGGTTCCCGTCTGTCCGTCCGTTTCTATGCAATCTAGTCTCTCGGTCTCGGGATGAAACTTTCCCAAAATTCAATTGCAGGTAGTACATAAATAAGTCGGAAGGAACCGGATCGGAAAACTATACCCTAGAGCTGCAGGGTATATCAACTTGGGCTTGCCGAAGACAGCTTTCTTTTTTGTTTTTTAGACTTTTTTCGAAAAACGAGAGCGGAAGTTCTTAATAACCTTGTAAATTTTGTTGATTAAAATATTATACAAATTTTAAAATATCATCATCAGCATTTTCATACTTAATCTTCGTAAAAATTTTTTAAGAGTATTGTTCAAGTTTTAAGTTGATACTTCGCAGGTACAGACCTCTTATTGCGAATATTTGGACATTCCCTTACGGTTTTTGAATTTATACTTTCAGCGTCTGGTTCATTTCCAAAGGGATCTGTCACTCATAAGACTGCAGGAACCACTGCGTCTGGGCAGTCAGACATCCGCCAATGTGAGCGTGGCGCCCATTTGCAGCCAGTTTGAGCTGACTAGGCTGCAGGTGAGCGGCATCCTAGTGGCCGTGGCCTGGGGCAAGGGTGAAGGTAAGTCATGCCACATTTCGTCCTTGGAACCTTACCAACAGCTGAGTCCCCTTTTCAGAGACCGACTGCCCGCTGTACGAGATGCCCATGCGACTGCGTCCCACCTGGGCCTGCGGTGATCTGGCCAACTATGGCAGGGTCCAGGGTCTGGGCAGCTCACATCTCTGCGTGGAACCGATGGGCGGGGAAAGGGAGCTGCAGCGGTTCTCCAACAGCAGCACCTGCGCCGCCTGCCCAGCGTCGGTGGGCAGCATCCTTCACCTGGTGCGACCGGGTGGCGGTCGCTGCGCCCTTGCGATTGCCACGCCCACAGGAGCCGAGTGCGAGGCGCGACCCATGTACTTTACAGGTCTACATAGTCCGCAGTTTAGGCGATTCGTCGAGCAGGAGCAAAAGGAGTAGCTGCCTCAATGCCCAATCCCTAGGAGTCATCTAGCTTAAGTTAGAACAATCTGTACTCATACTATAGTAGTAGATAGGAAATATAAGGTATAATTTTAGTTTATGTCACACAGGAAAGTCTCATCAGCATGGTCACACTGGAAAGATCTGACTGTACTTCATATGCCTAAGATGATATCAGGATCATTTTTAAAACCTCAATGTAGTCTTTAAATTAAAATAGGAGCTAATATAAATAAAATACATATTTATTACACTTCTCGGTATTATGAATGAGGGAAATGATTATTTATTATACCCTTCAGAAGATAAAAAGAGGAAACAGCGCATTGGGGCATTCTAAATACAACTTGATTCATGCGGTACTTTATGCATAAATTTGCAAGTACAAATATGCACATACGATGAGTTTATTCACGATATTTACGCATATATTAAACACTTGAAATACCAGTAAGCCTCAGTTAGCATCGGTTCGATTCCCTTTAAGACTTGCTCGTGCTCGTGTGCTCTTCAGTATTTTCCTGGTCCCAAGAAACCCATAGGAACTGACTCATGGATTGTGTACTGGGAATAAAGTGATCATACTTAAAGAAATCATAATTGTCTCCGCTGGGCACTCCTCTCATCGTCTATTTATGTTTATCTGTTCACAAAAAGCCTTGCTCGGGTTTTCCGATTATTATGGATCGGTTCTGACTCTGATTCTAAAAACTGGAGGCAGAAACCGGTTGCAGAGAGGAGCGATCATGAGCTATCAGCTGCCTAGCTCGTAGACTAAGCTCCATCGAATTGGTCCCCGATTGGGATTCAGTTGCTTGGGAGATGCTTTACTGAGCGGTCAGAACCTACGCCTCAGCCTGGCCGTTCCAATCCGCCGCGTATAGTGCCATATCGTTCAGATTCTCTCCGCCATAGCCACCGGTTTTCAGCTTTATTGGCTTTGCTGGTGTGCATTTTTGTTTTGCTGTGCTTCTCGTGTTTTGCTTGATTTATTGCTTTGTTTTTTTCTTGTTTTTGATTGCCATACGCGGAGTGTTCGATGCACTCTAATAACATCGAAACATATACGTATTCCCTTATCAAAGGCTGTAAAAAGGTCGTGTTCCAGGTGGGTTGGATGGGAAGATCAAACCACTACCAAGGAAAAACTATTCTAGTCCTGATATCCTCGCAATAAGTATCAATTACTTAAGGTCCCTAAAAATTTCAGCACTTACTGTTGATTTGGGCACAACTCTATTCTAATAAATGACGTTCTACCCTTATCTGAATCAAATTCCCGCCTTAAATAGTTTGGGAGGTCTTCGATATCAGCTATAAATACTCCTAGGTGTGAGTGGCAGAACAGAGATTACAGACCCCCGAAAGGTGAATCGACCGATCCAACCTGTCCATGTTCTGTTTTCTATTAAATGGTGAAATACTATCTTAAAGAAGATAAGCTCGAATTTCTCACCCTTTATGGCTTTCTAGTACCAGGACTGACTGTATTGCGTATTTAGCATCAATATAATCATAAATCGGTCAATGTTAGGCTTACTTTAATCAGCTAAACAGCAGGGTTATATTTACTTTGTATTTTCAGCAATAGTTGAACTCTTCTTTCATTACAGTCAATTAAGATGCCATTAACTTTGCCTCTGGTAATCGGGACCTTCCTGCTCATCAGCTGCTCATCCGTTGATGCAGACCTAAAAGGTAAGTTTCAGTACTCCCCCGGAAAAATCGAATAGCCTTTCCAGACCTTCATTTGTTGCAGTGGGCGAGGCCTGTAATGTGACGGACAGTATGCCAGGAATCTGCCGCAGCTCCTCCGACTGTGAGCCCCTGATCGATGGCTATATCAAGTCGGGAGTCCTAACGCTGAACGATGTGCCCAGCTGTGGCCTCGGTGCTTGGGGAGAGATCTTCTGTTGTCCCACCACGCCATGCTGTGGAAATAGGTAATCCCCGAATGGGTTCCTATGAGTTCACATAGAACTCACAATATCTGCGTTTTTGTTCCTTACAGTACTATAATGAGAGTGCCAACCAGAACTACCACAAGAACTCCGACGGTCAGGACGGTCCAAACCATAGGGCGTGTGGACGTGCCCACGGGAAGCAGTGATCGGCCAGCAGTGGCAGGTGGGTACAGATAATAAGGTCATCCTACAGATCCTTTGCTTAACCCATAGTTCTCTGCACAGCCTGCAAGAGGATTCGGGAGCAGAGGGCAAAGAAGAGCAGCAACGAACTGGTTATCCATATTGTGGGAGGCTATCCCGTTGATCCCGGTGTCTATCCCCACATGGCGGCCATCGGTTACATCACCTTCGGCACCGATTTCCGGTGCGGCGGATCGCTGATCGCCAGTCGTTTTGTCCTGACCGCCGCCCATTGTGTCAACACCGAGGCCAATACGCCGGCCTTCGTCCGTTTGGGAGCGGTGAATATTGAGAATCCCGACAAAAACTACCAGGATATCGTTGTGGTAAGGTCCGCGACGTCGGTGAAGTTCCGCATTTTCCGCATTTTCAATACAATCTTTCAGCGGAGCGTCAAGATCCATCCGCAATATGTGGGCAACAAGTACAATGACATCGCCGTTTTGGAGCTAGAACGGGACGTGGTCGAGACGGACAACATCCGGCCCGCTTGTCTTCACACAGAACCCACAGACCCGCCGTTGGATGCTAAGTTGTTCGTCGCCGGCTGGGGTGTCCTTAACGTGACCAGTGGGTAGAGGGTGATACCATATTTCTTCGTTGTTTCACATCACTAACCATCCACAGCTCGGGCGCGTTCTAAGATCCTGCTGCGAGCGGGTCTGGAACTGGTGACCCTGGACCAGTGCAACTCATCCTATGCGGAGCTGCCCGTCGCTATTCGGGTCCTGAAGCAGGGCGTCATCGGCTCTCTGATATGCGCCATAGACCAAAAGTTGATAGCCGACGCCTGTAAAGGCGACTCCGGGGGTCCGCTCATCCACGAACTCAACGAGATGGACGGCATGTACACGATCGTGGGCGTCATCTCGTCGGGCTTCGGATGCGCCACCATAACACCGGCTCTCTACACCCGGGTGTCCTACTATCTGGACTTTATCGAGAGCATCGTTTGGCCGGACGGTCGGGTGTGACATGATTTAAGATCAGGACGGCTTGGGCAATTTAGACCCCAATATGGATTTAAATCAGTACCCTAAGAGCTAGATCCACCAAAATTGGCATACACACGTCTGTGATCTCTAAGAGCACCGCGATCCAATTAATCCAATACCAATAAAATACATTAAGTTAAGATAACGAAAGCCTTTACAAAATGTATGGAATGTTTCTTTAGTTCTTGGTTGTTGTAGAATCTAACAACACTTACGGGGGCTTTCAGGAACAATAGAAGATTTTCGTTGAAGGGAAATGGTCCCTAAAGATCTAACTGATGCATTATGTAGTGAAATTGTGCAGAAACAGGTTATTGGTAAGGATTACCTAAGATTGAGGATATTTTTTAGTATACATAGTTATTGCATTCGATTGGTATCAAGTTGCAAGAGATTCCCACTAAATAGGGATGTAGGTTATGTAGATATGTGTTCTAAACTGATTGTAGGTTGCCCAAGATAAATATTGAATATTAGTTCTGAAAGAGGTTTACAATTCAAGGAGGCTTTCATTTCAATTGAAAGGGATTGTTGTGTCACCTTTATAAAGTTTTTACACGGTATCCTGAGGTCTACAGCCTCCGTCCCATCGGTTCCCCTTGCTAATTACAGGCTGCCTTTGTGCTTTGTGAGTGCTGGCTTCTGATCGCTTCGGATCGTTCTGCGTTCTGCGAGGTGCTGGAAGGGAAAACCGGTTCGTGGCTCAGCGGGAGAGGAGGGGAGCGGCCTGGGTGCTATCAGCTGCCGGGTCCGGCGCTTCTTGGCTGCCGTTCAGCGGGCCCCGCGAGTTCCAGCTCCAGCCGCTGCCCAAGCGGGGCTTCAGTTGCTTGGGCGATGCGTTGCTGAGCGGTCATAGCCACCAAATAGCCCGCCCATTCCGCCGATCCCGCGATTCGTTCGGTTTTGCCCAGCGATAGCCACCGGTTTTCAGCTTTGTTGGCTCTGCTGGTGTGCTTTTTTGCTGTGTTTTTTTTTGTGATCCGCTTGGTTTTTATTTACTTTTTTATTTTTGTGCTGTTTTATTTTTTGTGGTGCTGTTTTGTGTTGGCTTGCCGTATTCACAGTGCTCGACGCACTCAATAAACATCATCGATACGTATACGTATTCCCTTATCAGAGACCGAAAAAAGGTCGTGTCAAAGGTGCGTTTGATAAGGCGGACAGCGGAAAGTGGTCAGTGGTAAGTAGGTGGACTATATATTGCATGCTCCACTTTAGCTATTGTCGTGTTTACAAAGGGAAAATTACTACGGAAGGCCGGAAGCTGATTATTAATGATTCAGGTACCTAGATTCAGCACAGAACCGAATTATTAAAGCAGAGCCTAATTATTTAAGAAAACCGATACTGGATACTTAACGCGCTAGAAGAGTTCCAGACAGATTGACGGCTTGTCAATTAAAAAGTATAATTGTCAGTTGTTTCTTTCTTATCAGCAATTACCGAAAGAGGTTCGATATCAGGTAGCGGGTAACGTCTTTAGCCGGTGGTAAATTCCCGGTGAACAGATAAACGGCAGGCCCCCTAGTGAATCATCTGATCTCACCTGCTGCTGCTGGTGAAATTCTCGTAATCAGCAGACAATAACTTTCCGCTGGCTTACCATCAACAGATAGACAGTGAATAATAATCGAAGTCTGGCTTGAAGCCTACGAAATCGTAGAGAATATTTTTGTTTTCACATTATAAAAAATCTTAAGTGGGTCAATGGCAGGTTCGGCTTAATCGGCTGAAAGGCGAGCTGATGAAAGAAACAGATCTCCCTTGTTTTTCCACAAACTTTTTACGAGGGCTTCCCCTGCCACAAAAAGGTTTTCCAAGTTTGATTTGCGTAGACGTGGTTACCCTTTTACGGGATTCACTAATCTTTCCGGGAATTTCAGCTGACTGAAGATGATCTTGGCGAGAGGGAACTTCCTTCTGGGCCTCCTGGTACTGGCAACATCCGCCCAGCTAACAGTTGGGGATGGTATGTAGGAAGTTCCTAGGATTGTACACCAGATCCTCCCCAGCCTGGGTCATTTCTCGTTGCAGAGGGTGATGCGTGCACGTTGAAGTCGGACATTCCCGGAATTTGCCGCGCTTCCTCGGCCTGTGACAATATCGAAGGATACCTCAGGTCGGGGGCACTGTCCACCAGCCAGGTGCCGAGCTGTGGTTTCGGGGCGCGCGAGGAGATCATCTGCTGCCCCACCGTCGCCTGCTGTTCCACTGAGTAAGCGTGTCCTTGTCAACGCCTGTGTGTCTATCGTCCTGTTTGCCCTCTGTGTGTGTGTGTGTCCCGCCTGCGCTTTGTGCCCGCCGATGTTGCATGCCCCGCTTCCCGGCGTCCTCGCCAGACTAACCCTTCTCACTCTCACAGCCGAGCTCCCGAGGTCCAGGTCCCTGCCACGAGCTCTGAACGCAGCAGGCTACCCGATCCAGATCCAGAGCCGAAACCACTGCCTCCCACGACCACCGAACGGATAAAGGAATCTCGACTGGACGATAACCAGAACTTCTTTGACTTCAACAAGATACTTAGCACCACGGTCAAGCCACAGAAGACCCACGAGTCCTTGAAGATGCCCACCCACCAGTCCATGAATAAGCCCGACCACCATTTCACGAATATGCCAACCCACCAATCCATGAATATGCCAACCCACCAATCCATGATTATGCCCAACCACGGGTCCATGAATATGCCCACCCACGAGTCCATGCAGAACATGGGTGCTTGGGGAATATCTCATCCTACACCCACACACCCGCAGTGGGGCTGGGAAAACCGAGAGCCCCGGATTGTAAATCGCCCGTTGACCACGCCCCGCTCGAGACCGCAAAGGCCGCAGAATCCTGATCCAGGCTTTAATAACAACAATCTTATCCACTTGGTCAACGACCGATTGCGGCAGCAGGGAATGGAGATCGAGCCAGCCCGGGAAGTGCCCATGGAACCCCAAGCCCCGCCCGCCCCCACGCCGATGCCCACAAATGTGATGGATCCATTCGAGCCCTACAAATTCCGGGGCCAGGACAGGGACGTGGAGCCCCAACCAGAACCTTGGAAGGAGCCGAGCAACGATCTGGACGCGACACCCAGTCCCAGCGCCTTAACTCCAGTCGAGATGCGGTTTGTCTGAGCTTAGTTTTGGCATGGACATCAGTTGGCCTTAGCCAGGGAGCCGCATGCAGTCTCTGTCTCGGGCGGAATCCTTCGTAGCCCCAATAATCAATAATTCTATTTTCCATTTCTCACAGTTCGACGACGCCCAGCACCAGTCCTTCGCGCGTTAATGTCCCGGATAATGAGCGACCAGCTGCGTTAGGTGAGTCTCTTTCTAAGTTAAAATGGTCTAGCAGATCCTTAGGACTTATTTCAATCAACGCATAGTAAAAGGCATTCTAGCAAAAGCGCGAATTCTTCAGAAAGTTTGCATTTTTGTATTTTGCGCATGTTGCCAACATAGCTTTGAATATATAGGATATAAAATTATGTAATTGTATTGATTATGTAAGAGGGTTTATAATTTTCCAGCCCTACCCATTCAGTGAGATTTTTAAACAAAATACGTATTTGTTTCATAGGAGTAATTTTTGCGTGACACCAAATGGTTACTTAATATATTCCCAGCACCAAAGTGTTAGTATAATAGCGCTCTCTTTTGTTACTAATCCATTCCATCTGCAGCAGTGGCAGATCCAGAATTTGGCTGTGGGGGGATATACAAATACATTTTTGAGTAGAAATCAAAAATGTTTGAATTAAATATATATTACATATACTATATATCCCGAGTGGGGGAATCTATCCCCCATATCCGCCCGCGAATTATCTGCGGTGATATATGTTCTTGATCTGCTTCAGACAACTAAATCCTGTAGCTACCATAGGAATGAAACAAACTGTATTGATATTTAACAAGAAAGGAAGTTAACTTTGGCAAGTCAAAGTTTGTATACCCTTGCAGTTATAAGAAATAATCAATGTTAGTTACAACATGTTAAATTTTTAAGGACTGTTTTTTGCTTCAGGGATATTAAAAAAATAATTATTTCATTATTTCCGTTTCTTTGACAGCTATATGTTAGAGTCGTCTGATTTTTATTAAATTTAATTCTAAATTCTTAAAAATACAAAAAATGATATTCCCAATAGTATAAAATAATATGTCATAATATTTTCCCACCAATTTTCCGATCGTTCCTATGGGAGCTATAAGATATAGTTGTCCGATCCGGTTGGTTTCGACTTATATACTACCGCAAAAGAAAGAAGACTTTTTGGAAAGTTTTAGCCCGATAGCTTTAAAACTGAGAGACTAGTTTGCGTAGAAACGGACGGACAGACGGACCGACGGACAAACGGACAGACGGACATGGCTAGATCGACTCGTCTAGTGATGCTGATCAAGAATATATATACTTTATCGGGTCGGAAACGTCTCTTTCACTGCGTTGCAAACTTCTAACTGAAATCATTATACCCTCTGGAAGGGTATAAAAAGACTATACTTCTTATACCATGTCTAACAGTATTGTTTCAAATATTTGGTTTAAGATACAAACTTAACAGTTAACTTAAAATCAAATGCTATTTAAATAATCTGGCATAAATAAATGCAAACAATGGTGACTCCCCAATTCAGCCTGTGCGAGGATCCGGTCCGGCGACAGGCCCCTAACCGTTCACATCCTGGGCGGCATACCCGTGGCCCTGGGAATCTATCCTCACATGGCGGCCATTGCATACAACACCTTCGGGACCGTGGAGTTCCGCTGCGGCGGATCGCTCATCGCCAGTCGCTTCGTCCTCACTGCCGCCCATTGCGTCAATAGTGACAGCACTACACCAGCCTTCGTCCGTTTGGGTGCCGTGGCTATCGAGAATCCCACGGCGGGCTATCAGGACATCAACGTGGTAAGGATCGAAAGGTTAGAATATCCGAGCTCTGCAAAGCTTAAGCCGATTTTGTTGATAGGTTGACATCCAGATTCACCCGAACTATACGAGCAGTAGTAAATACAATGATATCGCCATCCTGGAACTGGCTGAGGATGCGAAAGAGTCCGACACCATTCGTCCTGCCTGCCTCTACATAGATCGCGATGGTCCACCCCCTGACTCGAAAGTTTATGTCGCCGGTTGGGGCGTTATGAATGTGACTAGTAAGTATGGGGTGCTGATTATTCAGAGCAAATCAATGGAATAGTAGCAGTAACAACTTCAACGAATAATATTTCTTAAATATACAAATGTCTTCTCGTCTTCTTGCTCCCATTTACAGATCGGGCCAGGTCGAAGATCCTGCTGCGGGCTGGTCTGGATCTGGTGCCTGTGGACAAGTGCAATGCATCCTTTGCCGAGCAGCCGAGCACCATCCGGGCCTTGAAGCGGGGTGTGATCGATTCGCTGCTGTGTGCGGCGGATAAGAAGCAGGTGAAGGACGCCTGCCAGGGCGATTCCGGGGGTCCGCTCATACTGGAGACGGACGAGGTGGACGGCTTGTACTCGATCCTGGGCGTAATCTCCGCGGGCTTCGGCTGCGCCACCAAGACCCCGGGCCTCTACACGCGAGTGAGCTCCTTCCTGGACTATATCGAGGGTATTGTGTGGCCGGCAAACCGGGTGTGAGGATTCTTTTGATCTGCAATAAACTTAGTTTGAACGGATGGTGGTTCTTGGTGTTGTTCCTCAGGGGTTGGTCGGGAGTTCCCAGTATAGGTACAAATATGAGGTTATGATAAGCTAACAAGAATGTACTCCTTAACCAGCAACTCTTATTACCTAATTTTAAAGCGGTATATTAGTACGTTTTTTTTTAGGATATAAAATTATGCACATGTGGGTTGCCTCAGAAATATCTATACATACAAAATAAAACATGATTTTGGTAAAACTGACCAATCAGATAGTTATACAACTATAAAAATACTTCTGTACTATTTAAAATAGTTATATGCATATGTATTTGTTTTTGCATTGTTTACTATTTAATAGGTAAACTACTAATAACATAGGTATGTTCACCTGATGTCTGTAATTTGCTATTGCAATAGTAAATGATTAATAAACTATCAAAAATAGTTCTCTTAAAGTAAATATTCCACCCCAAAGTATGCAACTAAAGCTTTACAAATTTTCTCCAATGCTTATAATTCCCAACTGGTTCTAGCGTTCTGGAAGTCAAGTATAAGCCACACCTCATTTTACCTATGTATATTTACTATTACTATAAAAATAGTTTCTGTACTTTACGTTAACATATTACGTAGGAGTAGCTATTTAATGGGTTAAATCGCCAATTTCACCGAAGAAATTTTTTGTGCGTAGGTTTCAGACGATCTAAAAAAGTTTTTGCAAAACACTCTCCAAAAAAAGAAGAGTCATTATCGAACACAAAAATGTATTTAAAAATTTGTATTGCAGTGGTTTTTTTGAGTACTAAAGAGTACGGGGTATTTTCAGTTCCAGCAGTTTTCCCAGGGACGTTTTTCTGCATCCCTGGTCTTAGACAACTGTCAAAGTATCGCTGTCTGCCCCTCGCACGCTCGTACGTAAACAGGTGAGAGAGCAAGAAAGCTCGAGCTGCGAGTGGCATTGCCAGCTGTCGCATGCGAAAGCTGCGAAAAAGCTGCTTACTGAGCTTTCCAGCCAGCTGTGCGACACCGTTACAAGGTGCTGCCGGCTTACTGCGCCATCCACGACCGCCCACCACCCACTGCCAACACCCCTCCCCCCCCCAAGGCCACACTCCGGGGGGCAGCAAAGTGGGACTGCTTAAATGCCGCTGCCAGGACTCCTCGGGCTTCAGTTGGTCGCGAGACTGCGAAGCTGTCGGTTTGCCTTCTCAGAGGTGGAGGTGCATCTACATAGTCTCGATTCAGTCCCGATTCCGTTGGATTTTGAACGCCTTCCGGATTTCCGAATTTCCGTACCCCCAAATTCCGAGTTCGCGTCGTGGTTGTTTATTTACTTTTACTTTTATTTTTGTTTTTTTTTTTGAGTGACCATCACCCTCCATGTTTTCGGCGGCCTGACCTAGAAGGCACCACTTCCACCTACAGTTGCAACCGTGAATGTAAGTCGATCTCTGTGTGCTTATCTGTTGGCCAGTGACTCTGTTTATCGCACATACACTTATCGACGGTATATATGTTCATGGTGGGAAATTGATTCCGGCGGGACATCTGTTTTGGGGCCACGCGATAACGGGTCCTGATCCGATCGAACGGAGCCAACTTAGGCGCCCACGGACCACACAACAGGTGCATGGCCCGGGACTAATGATTCCGACTTCTCAATGGGGCCTAAAGTGGGTATACCCACCCTCCGGTTCGGCTAAGTCCGGCTAAGCCAACTTGACTAATGAGCCAAGACGCGGCACATTCGTCCCTGGATTTCGAAATCACCTTAAGTTCGTTAGGACTCTAGCACAAATTGCTTAGTTAATCCGGGGAAGAATGTCGGAAGAATCGAAGAATTGTAAAAGACCCTATAAGAAACCTTCTTTAAAACGATTCACATTAAAAAAAATTTAATAGTTCATAAAGTACCCTTAAGTGAAATATGAAATAAAATTCTTAAATTAAAATATTTAATGTTCTATAACATACTTGTACACAGAGAAAACTATCCAAGAACATTGTTTTTGAATTGAGAACATTCGTTCTTTAAAACCGTGTAAGTACATTTTGGTATCAATATGAGAACGAAATGGTGAGAAGAGAAAATTTAGTTTATAATTTTGATAATTATACACTAAGGACTGAACTAATAGTTTATTTGTACATACAAAGTACTTAAATACCGCCAATTCAACTTGATTCGAGCAAAATAAAAACATTTTTAACCTAAAAATGTCGTTCCATTTTTAAGAACATTTTCAACTCAGATGAGAAAGTCAGAATTTTCTCTGGGTACTATTTAATTTAAAACAAGTACAAGTACAAGTAAATTAAAACAAGTAACAATGTTTTAGGTGCGAGTATCTTAATACATGAATTGTTTTACTTGCACTTTTTTAAGTTCCTTTTTGGTTTTCAATTTCTTGTCCTATTCTTACACAGTAAACTTTACAAATTTTCTCTGTGTAACAAATATTTAAGTCCATAAAGGATGCTTCAGTAAATTGTAAAATAATAGTCCAAAACTAAAATATTTACTTTTTAATAAACATACTATATAATTTTTAAAACATTCACTGTGTATTAAAATGCAATAGTTCTCTAAATCAATTTTAAAAGAGGGTGAACTCCTTGAAATTCGCATACATGTATCATATGTATTAAATTTTGTTCTTCGAATACTAAAAAAGCTTTGATGCAAATTCCAATTGACAAATTCGATTTAAAGTTTTGGAGCTCTCTAGATTTAAAAACGGTGCAAGGTTATTTAAATAAAAAATACAAATCATAGCTTGTACATTTATTTTAGGAATCAACACTCACATAAAACAAGGGCGTAGACAGACATGGGCAGGGGGGAAAGTGCCCCCCTAATTACCAGTTTTAAAAAATTAATAATCATATAATTAACTTTTACAAAGCCCTAGACGACTTGTAATAGAAAACCTCAACTAACTAACTACTTAAATGATTGGTCCCTTTTTTAATGACATACTATAGATATCAATCGAAAAACAAAGGATAAATAAGCTTTAATATTTCATAGCAGTCTTTCGGCCAAATAACACAATGCATATAACAGTTATTTATTTTTTCACATTCAATATTATTGATAACTAAGTACTAACATTGTCCTATAAAGCAAAAATGATTTATGGGCCTTAATTTAGCTTCCGAGTAACAAATGCCACGCATAATTACCAATTATGCTCATTAAAAGTAGCTCAGAGGAAGCAGATAATAACACTTATCCACTTTCGATATCCGTCTTTTCTGGATATTAAACGATACATAAAGAGGTCCTAAAGTTTCTTCTTTGTCGTCACCGACTTAAGCACTTTCCGCAGCTGTCTTGCCGTGGGAACTCCCCACTTGAAGGCCAATCCTAGATAAATGCTCTGTTACTGGATGGCTCATCAATTAGTAATCGGTAGCGAATTTTCAAGTTGATTTTAAAGGAGTGCATCCTCGCCATCCTCCCGCTCCCAACTATCCTGTCCAGTCCCTTCCGGCGTTGTTCTTGTTGCCCGCGGCTCGTTGTGGTGTTGGCGGTTAGCAGAGTGGCTATAAATGTGACACTAAGTTAATAAATTTATGGCTAAAACACACCCAACTGCTCTTGATGGCTGATGTGCGCGCTGCTGCTAATTTCCCTTTGCCTTCGCCCCATTTCCCAGGCCATTTCCATTTCCATTTCCATCAGCCTGAATGATGGTGCCACAACAACGGCGATAAGGGCACACAGAGAGAAATAAATGATACCTCGTTGGCAGAATGCTGGAGGGGCCAACTTTGGGGCATCATTAGTGCGTTACAACGTTTAACTTTGATAAGTGGCATCCGAATAAAATAATAATAATAAACTGGTTAGCCCCAATAACGTTTTTCTCCGTGCAAAGCCATGTGTTGTCGTTGGCGTATTAATAATATTTTTATTGGCCGCTTATTTGCCTTCCCGACTACATGTGTGGGCGTTGTGGCCAAATACACATTCGCAATTCGACCTGGCCAAGGCGTATTTATTCACTGACCAACCATGGCAGCCCCGCCCGCCAAGGGGTGTTTAGGCTGGCCTTAATTAATGAGTACACGGGGTCCAGGGGCGATGGTAGCCTAGACAGTCCCTCCAGATCTAGTGTATCCATCCAGTTGCTCGCTCATCAGGTGCAGCATTAACTTTATGATCGGCAGCCGTAAAGGCCATTTTAAGGCCCATTGACTTTCGGTATTTTCTGAGCCCGATTTCATTGAATATTCATGTGCCGAAATGTAATCGCACTTTCTTGGGAGAAAGTTCCGCCCCTCTGGGCCACCTTTTTCGGCTACTCCGCATTCCCGCGCAGATTAAAGTGCAGCATTCTATTTCTATTTACAGCCACATTCCGCACTTTATCTCTCCCCCAATCTCAAACTCATTCTCAATCTCAGTCTTTGTCGCTGCTTCCCACCTGCGGATTTCTTTTCGGTGCAAAAATCAATGCTGAAAGTTGCCTGGGACCCGGGCACAGCCCACTCCAGCCCACAGAAAAGCTGACTTAAGCGATGATTTCTGCGCTGTTTTGATGTTGTTCCACGGAATGCAGCAATAAAAATGCCTAGATACATAGCTCCAAATGCTCGGGGCGGGCGCTTCTTTTGAGGGCCAAAAACTAAGCGGCTAATGGCGTTGCTTACTTAGCTTCTTGGTCCTGGGCTCCTTGTTGTCCCCCAACTCGGAAGCTCGAGAACGACAACTGCACATAAATTTACACACAAAAGTTCATTTTGGTGTTTCGCGTAAATCTCTTCGCAAATCTCTCATTTCGCCAGCGAGGCGTTATGGTTGGCAGAATGAGTCGAAGTGGCTGATACCCTGGAACGGTACACATCTTTCAGTTTAGAGATTATAGTCAACAAAGGGGATTATAAACCAAACCTACACAGAAAAAACTATCTAAGAACATTGTTCTTGAATTGAGAACATTGTTCTCGAATTGAGAACATTTTTCTTAAATTAGGAACATTCGTTCTTAAAAACCGTGTAAGTACACGGAGAGAAAAGTTAA